ATTATTATTATTATTATTTATCTACATTTTTAAGTTGGGACGCATGGACTGATGAGAAGTTTTCACAACTTGGAATAATGAGTGACTCCTCCTGGATTCATCTTCATTTGGGGATTTAACAGTCGTTTGAGAAAAATAAACTTTGTATGGGACATTTCTCAAAAGCTATGGAGTTTGCTTTGCGAATTCACCTTTTTACAGCTTTTGTCTCTTGTATTAAGGTAAGCTCATTTTCATTTAAAAAAAAAAAAAACACTTTCTTTCATGTTATAGTCTGGCCATCTGTTGTAGAGCAGCTTTTATATTATATTTGATTTCTTTACAGGTTTATGCTCAAGTGGTACAACCTGCGAAGCATCCAGGTAGTAATGAATTTTTGCATGGGTGGTGTGATTGCTTTCATGTGTCCTAACTTAAATATGATGGCATTATACAGCTCTAAGGATCAGAAATATACATATATATATATATATATATACATATATAAGTGTTTCCAAATCAGATGTTGTTGATTTGTTTACTAACAGCAGTTGGGTTCATTATTTTCAATCTTTTAATCACTCCTAAATCCAATATGCAGTGCCAGGAAAATCAATTTTGAGCTTGATTGGAGAGGAGGGGGGAGGTGGGGGAGCTCTTTCTGGATGCTTGTTTACCCGTGAACTCTCCGTTCAGGCCTGCAGGTGTTGGCCACGGCCTCACATTACTGGCCTCTTGATGCTGTGGACGGAATCCATGAACTGTGGGACCAGATTGGAAACAGACCAGGTTATGTTAACGGAAGCAACATAAGTATGTGCATCTACATAAACAAGGGCTGCATATACTCATGGGAATGCACCACCTAAATGTCTTCGTCTGATTGCTCTCTGCATGGTCTTGAGCTGTTTTTCCACCACCCACCCTCCAGCCACAGCCATCATGCTTTTGTTAATGTGTTCAGGAGCTTCTGATTTATTACTGATATTGTAAAGCAAAATATCTTGTAATGTATAATTTGAATGCAGTAATTAAATTACAGTTTCCCATAATCTGGAGGTGGAAAAAAGTCTGACAAAATGTAAGGGAATAGATCATTATTCTGCATCTTTTTGAGAGCTCAAAGGCAGTTACATACTTCTTTCACATGCACTGAGACTTTTAGATTGATTGTATGTCTGATTTATCACTGAAATTATACAACAGGAAATGTAGTAACTTATGACTTAAATGCTGCAATAATTTACATACAGCATCCTATAATCTAGATGTGGTAAACGTTTGGCACAAATGTAAGGAGTAGATCATTATTCTGCATCTTTTTCTTCCACATGCATTGAGTGTGCAGCCATGTTGACTCTACACTGTAGTGCAATAAGTTATTTTAAAGGATTACATCAGACATCCAAAGTCAAACTAACTCAATTTTGGAAGTTAAAAAGGATTGGAGAAGCTTTTACTGGTAATTTTAAGCGACACTAACTTTGTAAGTTTTGTTTTGTAAGTTACAGAAACTTTCCTGATACTTTTTACTTGGTATTTTGTTTTCACAGTAGAAATAAAAATGACAAAATTAAGTAAGTGTCACTTAAAATTTACTAAAGCTACTTGATCAAGAATGTTTTTTAATTCACAAAACTGAGTTAGTTTGACTTAAAATGTTCGATGTTTTGAGTTAAATTAACTTCACGGTGTACATTAGTCAGTGCAAGTTGTTATAGACATGATAAAGTTGAAGAGGGATCGGGTATAGACTTGAGTAAGATGTGTGGCGTCACTCAGCAAACGTGTTTCAGCGCTGCCACTGTGCGCTCAGCTCAGCATCACTCTGTCTCATACCTGCACACCACGTCCCTCCCATTGTCCTCCTTTCACTGTGTGTGTCTTCTGTTGTGTCTATATAGGTGTGAATCACTGTTTCTCTCCGTTGTCTCTGTCCAGCTCTCAGAATCCACAACCACACTGTGCTCCCTTCCTCCCATAACTCTTCCTATGTGTATACCAATGACTCTGCCTACACTAACATTTCTGCAACAGTAGGTGAGAATCAATCACTCTCTGCTCACTGAAAATTCATTCGTGCATCACCCACCGCTCTCTGTTGTCCTCTCAAGCTCAGCATTTCACACTTTTTTCTCTTTGTTCAAATCTTTTGTCCGTGCAGCACAAGATGAGGAATTTGTGGTCTTTGGCTTTAGTCGATGCAGAACACTGTAAAACCTAACAGCAGTGGTTCCCAACCCAGCCCCCACTAGGGGTTGCCAAAGCTTTATAGGGGGGTTGCGAGGCCTTATTTATTTTAAGGCTTGAAAGAAAACAAAAAAAATACACACAGTAGGACTAAATCTCAGCATTTTGTTCATTTCTATGAAGAAAAGTAAAGTAAATTGTCTAATAGGACAACAACCAAGCGCCAAGGACAAGATAAAGATAATAAGTCTGTATTATTGTTACAAATATATTTAAAAAATACATAATACAGACAGAAAATTGTATAAAAAGTTCTCATAAACAGGAAATAATCTGCTCAAAATTTGTCTAAATCAGTAATTTTACAATAAACTTCTTGCAGTTACTGAGTTCATTATTTGTATAAATTATACATTACATTACATACATTATATTTTTAATAATATAGAATAAAATATGAAATATCCATAAAATATGTCAGTTTACTCAATGATAGAAAAAAGGTTGGGAACCACTGCCTGGCAGCGTATCTTAATGAAAGAAGTAAGTTAACGTAACTAAAAGTGTAGTCACCCATTGCCATGTAATAACTGTTAATGTATAACTCTGTTTTAACACATTTAAATATGTTTGATGAGGGTATTTTTATGTTCAATTAACTGAATGGATTTGGTACAATTAACTTAATTTATACCCAAATTACCTTAACAAGAAATACTCGAGTTGCTTGTACTCAAATAAAACATTTTTTAATGTTTAGATTAGTTTGCGTCAATTAACTTAAATGGTTAAATCAGTTTCCTCAAACAGTTTGAGTAACTAACTCATCAAGTTTTACAGTGAATCATAACATATCAACTGAAGTGACTCCGAAAGGCTTTTATTCTTTAAAAAAAGCTGTAAAACCCTCATGTTTATCAGCTGCAAAAAACAACTCATGATTTGTTGACTATTAAGGGACTTTGGGTAACTTGTTGGATGAACAGAGAAACATTTTGCACTGAAGTAGACCTCCTCGTCATTTTCAAACGAAATGATTTGTTGCTTTTCGTGCAGACATTGTTGAAGGAATGGTCAACAAGGGCATCTTTCTGAATGGAGATAACGGCGGCACCTTTCTCCACTTTGGAAACTACCAGAACTCTTGCATTAGTGACCCTACTTTTTGTGGTCCTGAGGGTGAGTGCGCTGTAGTTTATGCACTTTGGCACATTTCTGTCTCTTTGCTTTAATGGCTGCAAGTAATTTTGTGTTTTCATCCATTTCTCCAGGGATTACCTTCTCCTTTTTTTGGAAAAACCACGAGCCAGAGTCCCGTTTTGCCATAGCCTCTGGAGGGAAAGTTATCTCCAACGGCTTCTCAGTCTACAGCAATCCCTACGGAGGATATGTGGAGTTTTACACTCGAGGCAACAACCACAGATGGAAGGCCAACATCGTAGTTCCAGGTATTGTGAATGAATTACGCAGTTTTCTTTTAATTACATTTCCCATAAGCACCCTAGAGGAATATATTTTGGTCTTGTAAATATATAGAATTTTTGTTGTTGTTTTGTTTTCAACCATAAATTGCATGGTTTGGTTAAGTGAAACCAGATGCTACCACAAGGACTCGATTTGGCAAGTTAAAGGATGAATTTAATAAAAACTTTTAGCAGTATTACAAAACATACAATTATCATAGACCCGTAATGAGATGTGGTCACTTCCCTTCTAAAATACAACAATGTTTGGTGATCAGTAAAGGTCCAGTTGGATGAAATCTGAAAAAGTGGGACCAATACCTTTTTATTCAATTTTGAATATAAAAATATATATTTTAATGAGATGAAGCAATCTGGTAAACGGTTTTGACAAAATAAAGAAAACAGCTCATGAGGCTTAATGTTATGTGAAACTTTTATAGATCAGTATTTTGTTCTCAGATGACTTCTGTCATCTTTGTTTTTGCTGCAATTACTCAAGGTTGTGTTCACGGGGCGTCATAACTCAATTTTGATTGAGTTACAGAGGATCAAACGTCATCTGGTTCTTATACAGTGTGACGTGTTGCAGTTTTTCAGGACAATTCTTTGTGTGAGGAGAAACCTTTGAGGTTGATACGTTAAACCTCGAGCTGCCCTTAGACCCCACGAAGGCAGACGAATGTTTAATACATAAAGAGGTGAAAGAGAGAGTTAGTGGGAGTGGTTTTTAGCACATGTGGTTTATATTCCAACCACAAATGAGATGTGTTTTGGTTGTTTTGCTCTTCTGGCAGAAGGGCTTTCAGTTAATGTTTTGTCTTCTGGGACTCTCTTTATTGTCAATTTTCTGAAGAGCAACAAGGGGAAGAAAGTTCATTGTATTGTAAAATTGACTGGAAAGAGCTTGCAGGACCAGAACAGACTCTGGCCTTGTGGTCTTGTGGGCACACTGGATTTATGAGTATCATAAAATAACAAAGACTAATGACTATTTTGATTATTAATGAATCATTTTCAGCGATTTTTAACTTAACTTTGATTTCTCACCAAAAACCTGCATAACTAATGCCATTCCTGTCAGCCTCAGTTGTACTGCATGTTTAATGCTATATAGCTAACATTAGCATGCTAAAACGCTGAACTAACTATAGATAACGATTGTTTCTATATCTATGATTATACCTGCTAAACGTTAGCATGTTTGCATTGTTATCGTAGCTTGTTAGCATGCTGACATTGAGCTCAAAGCACTGCTATGCCTCACAGAGCTGCTAGCATAGCTTCAGACTTCTGGTTCAACCAAAATCCAAATATTTCCTTTTTCCAGCTTCTCAAATATAACAATTTGTTTCCTTTCTTTGTCACATATACATAATCCATAGACAGTAAACTGAATACAGTTCTGTTTTAGACTGTTGTTTGGACAAAATAAGCAATTTCAATGCACCATCACCTTATACAAAAGGCATTTTCTATGATTTATCATCGATAATTCAAGAAAATAATTTGCAGATAAATAGATAATAAAATAATTTGTTGTGACCCTAAAAAACCTGGACGTAAATGTTCCACTATGTCACTATCAGCTTCATACTAATATCTGTATTTCTTCTTCTTTCACCCATTCTTGCATTGTCTGCAACTTTCACAGTGCTTATTTTGAGAAGCTGCATACATTACTGATCCAGCTCAGTGCCTGAATTGACCAAAAAAGGTGCCAGTACCCTAATTCAGTAACAGTAACCTTAAACACAACCCTAACCCTAAACAACAACTCTTTTGGCGTTTTTTTAAAATACTTTTTTAACATGGACATTTTCAGTGCTGTTTTTCTCAGCGTTAAGCAAGCTGTGTTTACATGGAGACACAGTTACGCAGGCGTTTACGAATACCAAAGCAGCACTGCTGTACACAGGGTTTTAGAAATATCCAGAAACTGAAATTGGTAGGTGGATTTTGGGGCATCAAAACATCTAAATAAAGTTGTGTTTAGGCAATTATTTCACAACTTTTATTGTATACCCCTTGGAAAAAATACTGAGGTCCATACCTCGGTAACTCCAGTAGTGGGCCATGTTCAACAAGAAGTATACACTGAATATAATATGATATATCCATCAAAATATGTAACTTAATCAGTTTACTCATCGATAGAAAAAGGGGTCCCATTAAGAATAAAAGTTGGGAACCACTGCATACATCATATATTCTGTATAAATATAACACGTTTCCTCCTTCAGGACCTTTCTGGACCCATGTTCTCTTCACATGGACGAAAACGGATGGTCTAAAGGTCTACATCAATGGGACCCTCACCGCTAACGACCCAGCCGGTAGCGTCTCAGAGCACTACGGTGACCCCTACCCCGACCTCGTCATCGGGACTGGCAACGACAGGACGTATCGTCACTACGTCACGGGGGCCTTCGATGAGTTCGTCATCTGGGAAAGGGCCCTTCCACCTCGCGAGATCTTGCTCTACTACGCTGCCGCCATAGGTTAGGACAATCCCGTTCTGTTGGAAAAGTATTTCCTTCCCTTCTCCCACTCTGGCACATGTCGTATCTATTATAATGATTCCCTCCCTCTTGACTCCACTCTGAGGAAACAGGGGTTAAAAAGCAATTTCCGTGCTTGTTCTCACATTCCAGCCACAGCCTCATGAATAACAAGATGTTTTTTAAAAACCCATACAAATATACTCCCTCTCGTGACCTTTCACTGTATAAGTGTTGTGGCTCACATAGTTCTGCCTTTTAAGTATTTATAAGAGTTGCAGAGGTATGTTGGGTTGCAGGGGGCAGATCATTTGGATTTAATGTGACAGGTTAAAACCCCTCCAGACTCTTGGCTGTTTACCTCCTTTATATATAGCCATAAATGGATAAAATAACATGTTGACATTTATGAAGTAGTAACCAAAATATTCTGTTGTGTTATAATCCATAATAACAAATTACATGGTAGTCTGAGAAATGTTCAAAACCTGTTGAAATGTACCTTTTTTAAGCCAGTAGACTGTAAAACCACATAATCTCATTTAACTGTCGAAACTAATAACATTGCCAATTTTAAGTAGAACAAACTCAGTTCATAAGTTACAAAAACATTCTTGATCAAGTTGCTTTAGTGATTTTAAGTCATTTTCATTCATCAAGAATCTTTTTAACTTAAAACCTAGAGTTTGTGTTGCTTAAAATGTTCGATGTAAACAATCTCATACTTCTACTTCCTGCAACTGGTCCAGAACGCCGCAGCCAGGCAGGTACAGGTACTCGGAAGAGGGACCATATTACACTTATTCTGGCCTTTCTCCGCTGGGTGCCAGTACGGTTCAGAATTGATTTAAAGGTTCTCCTTTTTGTCTATAAATGCCTTTATGGCCTGGACCGCCTTCCTATATTGCAGACCTACTAACCTTTTATTCTACATCCAGTTTTCTTAAGGTCAGCTGACTTGGGGTGACTGTCCCCTTTGCCGTTGCTGCCCCTCAGACCAGTCAAAACTCACAATATTTGAGAAGGTTTCTCATTATTTTGAGATTCTAAGTCAATATTTCTCATTATAACGACTTAGAGGATCCTTTTTTTTCCCGTCACATTGGTGGAAATGAACTTCCATACAGCCCGGACAGTATTATAATACAGTTACAAATACAGGAATAATATAACAATGAATGAACTCTACTCATGATACCACCTGACGTGATTTCATAGTCCAGTTTCCATGTTAGTTTTTCATCTACTAGGAATTAGAAAGAGTTATTTCGGTGTTGTCAATGAATATTTTGGCTTTTTTTTTGTATATTTTTAATTTTTGTTGCTAAATATCATAAAATTCAATGTATTTATGTTTAGAGAGCAAGCGACTGGCTGCAAGTTTGCAATATCGACGCCGCTGGAGCTTCAACCGCTCACAATGCATGAAGCATAAAGTGCACACTGCCTTATTTCTCCTCCGAAGTCGTTACCAAAAGCAATATATTCCACAGACCATTACCAGACGCAAAGAGCCTGACTGTTATGGTTACAGAAAAATATTTTTACTTCTCCAGAGCACACATATAAAATGTTGCATTGAACCAAAGAAGAGCAGGAAAGGTTCAGACTGATACCTCCCATGGACGTCCATATATGGCCATTTTTGTGCTTGCAAGTTAGTGCTGTTTTCATTAAATGACAAGCAAAGACATAAAAATGTATCTTACCCTTGTACAGAAGCTAGTGGCAGAGTATTATGTGGTTGATTATCCCAGTTTTGTGGAGGTTGTAATCTATCCCGTCTTTCATGACTTGGCATGGTCTGGCCTCATAAACTCTAAGCTGTATGTTGATAAAATCCAGCTACATTACGGCAGCTCTGCCTGCTCAGGTTCAACAAAGGACCAGATGACGGAGTAACAGAAAAGCCTCTTAAATGCCAAGCGAGGGCTATCCAGACTAGAAAAAATTTAACATAATCTAAAAGTCTCAAATATATGTTTTTCTTCTTGTTCCTATAGTTAGATGTTTGATCTCCACTGTGCAGAATGATGTAGACTAGAAGGATGTTTTCGCATTCGTCTGCAGAAGGTTGCATATTCATAGATTCTGTCATTTTTAATCATGGAAGAAGGAGTAGACTTTTTAACGGTTTTATTGTAGAAATTATACTTTTTTGTGGGGGAAAAAACATATCAGCAGGGTTTGGAGGGTTACTTTAAAAATGTAAAAATTAGGGCCTGAGCAGTGACCGCTCATGGCACTTGGTACAAAATGGAATGGTACGAGAAATGTACATATTAACCACGGCCCCAAGACACATACAATCGCCATGTATAAAAAAAACTTCTGCACCTATATATCTTGTCTAAATGTGCTCCCATACCCTCAACCCAACAGGAAGTCGGACATTTTGAATTTAGTGTCAAATTTTGCCGCCATTTCTGCAATTTCTAGGCCTTTTGTTATAAAAAACTCCACCAAGAGAATTCGGATTGATGTGAAATTTGGTGAGTAAACTATAAAGAAATCCACAATGAAAAGTTATCAAAATCTTGAGGCTTCGTCAAACGGGGTAAGCGTGGTGTGGCGTCAAAAATTGAGACTTGATTGATTTGACAGTATGTTGTTATGTACAGTGTACATTATCCAACCTGCACCAAACTGCTCATGTTTGATAAGAGTACTGACCTGAACACATCTACATACAAATATTTATCATAGCGCCACCTACTGGTAAGAGGAAATAAGCCTTATATGGCAATAATCATGTGATTTCCATTAAATTTGCGTCAGCACACCCCGAGGTCTTGTCCCATTACTCCCCAAGCCTGCATATTTATTTAGTGTTTATTTGTATGAGGACAAGTATGTAGCATAAACAAATGGCACACAACATAGCATTTATAGCCAAAGCTAATTTGCACTCCTCGTCCCTGGATGAGCCTTTAAAATACATAAAATGTCAACAAATACACAAAAGACCGTCCAAAACAAACTGAACAATAAGTATGCACATTAAAAAAGAAAGAACTCAGCAAGAGAGTAATTAAAATGCCATATGCACCAAATAAATCATGAATACATGACTGATCCTTCTTCAAAAACTGTTTGAGGTTCAAGCGATTCCAGTCAGGATCCACTTTGAGTTCTGTAGGTAAAGAATTCAACATTGTATTCCCCAGAACAGAAAAAGTTTGTCCAGTCCAGTACGATTCCTGTTAAATGCTCCACATATTACTGAGCCTGAATCTCTGAGTGGAACCACAAGGTCACTGAGCACCCGGAGAGCCTGGTAGGCATTTATAGATCAGTTTATGATGAGCAAATTCAACAAGATTATCTAAACTTAACATATTTAATTTCCCAAGAACATGGCAAAGATGTGATCTTATCGGCTTCCTGCCCAAAATCTGGATTGCTCGATTGTATGTCATCATAATATCAGACGCAGATTATTGTTCCAAGCATGTGTATGTATGTATTAATACATGTCTGGAGGGGGTCTTTAAGCCTGTCACCAGTGTGGTTCCTCTGTATTGTCTTTTCTAGGTCAGGCCATAGTTTCTGCCACAACACCCCAGGCCTCCGAAGGAATCACTTCAACTACGCCAACAGTCGTAAGTCAACTAAAACAGATGTGATAGCTGAATGTAATTGTTTAAACCACATGTGTGAATCATCGAAGTTTTCGTTACAAATACAGCATTCACATCGAAGTGGTATGAAAAATGTGTATACAGTTTTGAGGCCAAAATATACACAAACGTGTGTGCTGCTCGAATCAATAGAAAAAAAGCATTTAGGTGCATGCGTGAGTTCATTTCTTATTGAGCTATCGTTTCCTTTTGAAGACAGAGGAGCTGGGAGAAAAAAAGGATATTGAGAGCACATGTGAACAGACTTGTCCTGTTTATTAAAGGGCTTTGGAGGTAGAAAACGCATAAAGAAATCGAAGAAAGTGGAGACAGATGCTCAACACTACGCACAGAATAGCTCCCTATAGAGCAATAAGCTGAAAAGAGAATTTCCCAAACTCAAGCTATCAGTCACCGAACATCCTGTGTGCGTTGGAACTCGCTACCTCCTGATAGTAAACTTCATTTGATGCCTGATGTGTTGTCTCCCCAGACAGCCACCGTAGTGAGTCCTCCTATCGTCATCAACCAGGGTGACCTGGTCCAAAGCTCCCAGGACCCGCAGTCCATGCCTGTGTTGGGCTTCCTGAAGGCGCTGCCCAATAGGACCATTCCTCACAACACTGCCAACAACCTCACACAGGTTTTAGGAGCACACACACACACACACACAATGCCCACCCATGTGCACATGATGCAACAGTTCCGTGATGTCCGTTTTCTTCCACCCAGGCTTTTCTCAAAAGTGTGGAAGAAGTGCTGTCCTCTCCTGGCCTGCCAGAGGTAAATGAGTTCACACTGTTGTTGTGCAATGTTCAAACATGACATAATGTTAACATATGCAATTTGGTGAATACTTTAATCCAAGGCACTTAAGAAATCCACGAGTATGAGATTTTAACACCGCATATTTCTTTGGCACAAGTGGTGCCAGCAGCAATAACAGTGCCTGGCAGTGTACCCGCACAGGATTACAGTATGCAGTCAAATACTGGGGTGTAAATTGTATAAGACAGCACCGCTGCCTGCGAGGTGCTCGACAACAACAATGCTTTGAATGTAAATGCACAGCTTCCTGCTCAGTACGCTCGTCTTGGCCCTAATCTCCAGGCTCTTATATGCAAACATGCTGCTGCCAGAAGAAAGACGGTCTGAGCAAGAGTCTGTGGTTTCAGTGCATTGAGTGTGCAGAACAAGCATGCCTGTTTTTGTAGGAGCAAGCTGAAACAGATGTTCAAGTCAGAGAAAGCATAACTTGGACAGTAGATACAGTGTTCGGTAAATTCCCCCTGCGATTATCTCCTCTGATCAGATCAAGAGACTTTGAATGTAATACGCGCTGTGCCATCATTGTTAGACGTATAAGATTAAGAGTTCAAACTCTCTAAATTCACACCAAAAAAAAAAAAAAAAAGCCAAGACAAAAAAACGCCATGACAGCATTTAAATAAATTAAGATATTATCTTAAAATTTCGTGAGAAACTTTGCATTGAAAGTAGCAATGGCTTACTGAATGTACATTCACATACTGAACATATAGTATATTTATTTTACAAATTATGCATGACTGATAAAAATGTCAAGTACCCTTTGCAGTACTCCAAAGTGCCTCTAGGGGTACACGTACTCCCATTTGAGAAACACTGATCTAAAACTTTATGTACGTTTCATTTAATTCAGTTTAATTAAATGTGTATGAATGCAAATAAAAGCCTCATATTTGTAGCTAATGTTAAAGAGAGACTATGTAACCTTTGAGAGGGCAAATAAATCATGAATCTACTTAAAGGTTTTACCGCCACAGCGTTAGGTAGGCCATTATTGTCAACAGACTTTATAACTCTTCTCCACTTGTGCTACTGTTACATAGCTTAGCATTATAGCTAAATGCTATAAAAAAGTAGTTTAGCATTAAACACAAAACAAAATCTATTATCTAATACTTCCCTAAAAAAAAAAAAATATTATGGTTTGCCCTAATTTTATAAATATTAAATTTTTTAATCACTTCAATTTACTGTATTGAGTAAATCCACTTTTTTTATTCAAGGCAACACAATTTTCTAAATTTCTTTTAAAATTTGAATTAAAAAAAAAAATTTTTAATTTACTAAAAAAGTGTTTTTTTAATATTTACTGACAATAAACCTGATACAAAAAATACTGTCAAAACATTTATTCAAAAACACAAATCATATAAAACTGCAGTTCAGCAACATGTTCATAATTTAACAGTCACTGAATCATCTGAAAACTATTATTTGTTTATTATACATCTTTTTACTTTACCCCCCATAAAGTTTAAGGACTCACAAAAGACAGTGTTAAGTAAAGTAAAAGTTTTAAAAGAATGATCAAAATCAAAGCACAAGCAGGAGAGATATCCTGACTTTACGCCAGACATGTGGACCAACAAAATCAAAAAAGACTTGCGACATGACTTGTTTAGCACCAATGACTCGTGACTCCACTTGGACGAGAGCCTTTGGACTTGAAAATACTTGATACCCTCCCAAAGATTATTTAAAAAGTGTGCCACGAATGAATTCATTTCCCTGAATCAACTAACATTAACGTCATTCGTTCCCAGCATTTGATGCTTAATTCCCTAAACCTGAAAAAGAGCATACATGGTCATATTAAGATATTATTACCCTGTTGCTATAATAGCAGTAATTTTGGCGTAGAGAGCATAATTACTTGTTTAGGACTCTTAACTCAAACTTTTGGACTTCAGACTTGACTTGGGACTTGAGACAACTTGTGACTTCTGCTATGGGTTAAGCTCCTTAAACACTGGATTTTGCCTTCCTGTCTGATAAAAGTCCACATTTTTAAAACTTGCCCATTTGTAACACAGTCTTTCTGTTACAAATGTGAGATTACCCTGACAACATCATCACAGTTTATTTTCTTAGACTTTGTAAAACTCCCTCCCCTTGAACTACGAAAGACTTTTATTTAACCAGGTAAAAAAAAACAGTTGAGATAAAATATCAGTGGTGACCTTGCAAAGAATGCAACAAAGCTTCACGTGGACTACACGTACAACTACATACATATTAAAACTAAATATTACAAGACAATACGTTACAAATAATACAGGCATAGATTACCGTTATTATGTATTATTGCAAGAACATTTTATATTAAAAACTTCAGTTCCTTTTTATTTTAAACTGGTTCGAGAGACAAGGTAGGCTGTTCTAAACTGCAGCTCGTTCCAAGACCAAGGGACGTAGTAAAAGCCTGTTGTTGGATTTATGATAAATACACATTCAGAGCTTATAAAAGCAGGTGTACAATACGCAGTGATGCATCCTGCAGCCTGAGTTAGAAATATATTTCAAAGCAGCATGAGAAAGTGGGTCAAGTGAGGCCAAAGTAAAGCTGTAAATGGTTGAGCTGGAGGTAGAAATAGGCCTGTAACCAGCTGTTTTATGTCAGGATGGAGAAAAAGAAGACTTTAACTTGTTTATGAAACCGGGCCTGGACGAAAGCAACCAATCAGAGCCGAGAGATGTTTCTGGACCCTGGGAATGACCCTTCAACCCAAAGCATCTTTATATCTTTGTCCAGGCCCGGTGGAGTGCTAGCACGAGCCAGAGGAACCTGAGTTTAGTTACCTACTGCAGCTTTAAAATGAAGATTTTTGAAGTATTCTTCATGGCAACTAAAGCAATTGGTGAACATGTTTTCTGTTGGGTGGTTGTTCAGCAGCAGTCCACCCCTGTGGTCAGCGGGCTGATCAAGACAGTGGACATAGTGATGGAACATATGGTGACTAACCTGGAGCCCAGCCGGAGCTCTCTCATCTCCCTGGGTGGAACATCTTTTGTTGCAGGTCAGTGTGCTGTCAGCTCTCCATAAGGTGACTCACTGTTTGTAGTTTGTGTGGTTGGGGTAGGAGGAGCTGACATCATTAGTTTTCTTACTCAGAGGGCAAATGCGGGTCAGATAAGCCGAGGTCAACCCCCTCTCACGGGTGTGGGTCTCTTTTTTTTTTGTGTGTGCATAATATTTTGTTTGCCACTAAGCATGCTGTCTCCCAAGGGTGGCCTCACATCTTTTATCCCCACCCCTGATAAAGCAGTTTTCTCTGCCTTTCCACAGATTACTCTCTGATGAAATTCCCACAGAACTACAACCTGTCGCATTACCGCTTTCCCACAGAGGGCAAAAACTACATCTCCGTGCCCGGAGAGGCTTTCACCATGCAGTGTAAGTGCAAATATGTACAAAAAGCAGACCTAGCTTGAGGATTGTGTGCAGGAAAGGTAGTAGCTTCTCTGGTCCAGTGTGAATGCTGCACATTAGTGGTGTTCTGATTCTGCCAGGAGAAAATTGTCCAGCTGGGCGGCTCTTGTTATTGGCCTGTAATTTATTATGCTAAGATTTAAGGCCACTAACATAGCATATAGTGTAGGACAGCAGTGCCATGAGAGCTTTTGTGTGACTTTATGGCGCACCGTAGAAATCCAGCTATGACTTTAATGTTGGCAGTTACCCTTTTATTCAAAACAGAAAGAGTGAGAGAGAGAGAGCACTTTCTCTCCACTTTCCCCTGTCATTAAAAAGAATGGACTCACATAGCGGAGTGAGGGGGAGCAGTAATTACGGCGGGCATTAAAACTTTCTTTGTTTGACTTCGTGTTCAGGTCAGATTCCCTTGGCTCCACCTGGCCTGCTAGATGCACCGTGTTGCCATACAATCACCGGAGTAAACTGCTTTAATAACTCATTAAAGGGCTGTTATCAGAAATGGAATATATGTTATTGCTTGACACATTAGAGCCAGGACCAAATTAACTCAAAGCACCGAATACCTGGCTGTAGGAAAAGGCCCCGAGGGGAGGTTTTATATCCTAATTAAGTAGAGAGAGTGCTACACATTGGTGTTTTTGGATGCTTTATTATATTTTTTTATGTTGTACAAGCAAACTGGCCACCTTGAGATCCTTTGGGACTTGCTAGGGGGGGGGGATGCATTCTGTCGAAATTATTTCTTGGAAGGTTTAAAAACTCTCCCGCAGCATACAGCAGAGCTTTCGTTGTCACAGTCAGTGGGGCCCGGGTAGAGGGCCTTTGAAAGGAGGAACAGGACCATTAAGGATTTCCTCCAATTTTACTGTTTATCTTTCAGTATCGAGGTGGGACCGAGCTGGATGATAGGTCAGATTAGGGGAGGGGGGGGGACCTGGACCTCCTGCTCTCCTGGTGAAGTCATGTAGAGCTTTCATAAGGTTTCCCAACATCCACGTGGTTTGCGGCCCTCTCCCTTTCACCCTCGTGCGAGTATACGGCCGTCCTATTAGCCGGCCGGTGCCAGCGTGCGCCGGCAAGGCAGCGTTAATTAACTTCCCTCCTTTGTGAGCATTTTAGCAGCTCTGCACTACATTCACAGCCCACTGCCCGATGCCGTTCAACTACTGTGTGTTGTTTTCTTTTCCCTCAGCTCAAACCACCATCGTCGGCCTCTTCTACCACAACATGCACAGCTACTACAAAGAGATCAGCCCCGTCAAGACCAGGTAAGAGGATGGGAAGACACCCAGAAGTGGGTTAAACTGACATTGCACCTAGTCAGAGGTGGCAAAAGTACACATTCTTTACTCAAGTAGAAGTACAGTTAGAGGCTAAAAACATCCCTTTCGGAAACAAGCCAAATATTCTTAAATATAATAAATCATATTGAGCGAAAATCAATTCTTAAAACTAGCATAAAATCTAGCCACTGAAACACTATAATAGGCCTTAAAACTAAAAGAAAAATGCAGAAAATAGGAAGCAAGTTGTGCTTATTAAAAGCAATGAAAACTCAGTTATTTAAGCTTCTTAAAATAAGTGTTTTCATCACTTTTTTTTAGCTAAATCTAAGAATTTGTACTGTAATCTAATAATTAGCAATAAAATCTTATAATAAAACACAATTTCTTCAAACAGCATAATAAAAATACTTTGTGTTAAATGGAGGAACCAGAAGCATTCTTGAGTTTACTTGACTCTACCCTCCACTACACCTCTGCACTGTAGCTCTCTTACAGTCCAACAGCTAACTAGCTAGCTGACCTATTTACCAGAATAGTAAACAGCATCAAGAACAGATAATAAGTGGTGAAGCCCCACCTCTTCCTTAATTTGATTGGCTGTCTGGGCCAAGTGTGACAGTGACAAGTGGTGCGACTCCGCGCCTTGAAAGGTTGAAGATATTTTAACTTTCATACGCGTCTAAAAACTGCTAGAAAATACCAAGTGCACCTTGCCATAGGTCAGTGGTTCCAAAGCTTTTTCATTAAGGGACCCCTTTTCTATCATTGTGTGACGTGACAACCCCTGACTGGTAAAACGAGTGATTTGGAGGAAGCTCAAGCAAAATATTTGCATCAGAGTTTTAATTTTCCTGATATTTTCAGGTACTTTTCATATAATTGACTTTTTCTTCTACACCTTGGCCATTGTATCAACTGAATGCTTTTCTAATGCAGGATGTGGCGGTTTAGCAGAGAATCAAGTGTTCATGACTTCACAGTTTGAATCTTAAATATTCATCTAAACTTCCTGGAAATTAACAAAATGGCGAGATGATATACCCTACTCTGAAGTATTTTCACAGTTTTTCTTTACCACCCCTTAATATCAAGAAGGCCTCGCGACCCCCGGTAAAGGTTTGGCGACCCCTAGTGGCCGTAGAAAACAATGGTTTTACAGGTGGCGTGATTACACTGTGTAATGATTCAGCTTCTTTACTCATGTAAAAGTGAAAAAGTACAGGCTCTGAAATAGTATATATATATCATGTTACATCTGTCGTGTGTGATATGCATGTTGGGAAGGTGTGCAATGATGCAAATAATAATAATAATAAAAATAATTCCCTTCAAATTCCATTAAAAACTGATAGTGCACAATCCTGTTTTAAATGTTAAGTAGGAGAAAGTACAGATATTTGTGTAAAAATGTAAAAAAGTTGTCAGAAAAATATTATAAATCCATCGTAAGTTTTGTAAAAGTTTAGTTAAAATCATCAAATATGAGTTGAAGCTATTCAACAACAACAACAAAAAAACCCATGTTTCTCTATTTGTACTTCCTGTGTGGGGAATCGGGTCCGCTTGAGTTAATGCGCCCCTGCTTCCTGAAGCACAGAACGGCTGAAGCCTGGGGCCAGAGCCTTATCTGTCCTCTTTCGCCTATCTCTAATCTCGCCACTCAACCTCCACTGACTGATACACCCTGCTATTAGCTCTCCATATCCATTCACCCATTCACCACCACCCCCCACCTCCTCCTCCCTTCTCCCTCTAGGTTAACGTCTCATCACTGGAGCAGCTTGTTCCACTCGTGCTGCAGTGTTTATTTATACCAAATAGCGATTAAGCAACCTGCCCCCCCCCCCCTACTTTGTACAAGTTAAAGAACAAAATGTAAAATATGTGACAGTGCATTTGGACTGCGGCCCGACTCCCCTCTGCGGGTGAGAGCGTCCCCTCTGTATTATGATAGAGAGGTGCTGCTTGTGTGATCCCACTGTCACATATCAGGTCGCCTTGAAAAACTATTGATGCAGTGCTGCTGCTGTCAGCATGATTAATTATATAGACAGATGATCAAAGTCCCACTTGAATGCTACTGCTGTGGGCCCGTGTGTAACACTTACGCACCGATGTGAGAGCCAGGTTATCTGTTGATGTCTCTCTTTCTTTTATTAACTCTTATTTGTTTGTATATATAAATCTTCATTAAACAAAACGTCAGTCAGTACAGATAGTTAAGAAGAAGTCTGACAGAAACACACCCTCCTACACAATCTTAAAGGACCCCTTTTCTATCATTTAGTAAACTGACTAAGTGACATATTTTATGGATATATCACATTATATTAAAAACTGTACAATGAACCCAAATAGTAAAATCAGTAACAGCAAGAAATTTGTATAAAACAAGTGATTTGGATACATTTTTAACAGATTATTTCCTGTTTAGGGAACTTTTTATACAATTCTCAGACGTTTTATGTATTTTTTTGATCATTTTTAACAATCATACAGACTTAAAAGGCTGCTTACTTGATTCTTTTGTGACATAATAGGTGTTTTCTGAATTTACTATGCATTTACATGTCTTCACAGAACTGGACCAAATACTGAGACATAGGCCTACTGTGTACTGTGACCCCCCATGAAGCTTTGTAATATAATATTACATTCTGTCACCTTCCATGGAGCCCGCCATGTTGAACCGCCATGTTTCTACTGTAGCCCAGAATGGACAAACCAAAGACTGGCTCTAGATAGGGTCTTTCGCGTCTCCAGTACAACAAGTCGGAAAACCAAACTCTAGCCAGGTTAGCTATTAGCCACTGTTAGCAATACCAGTTGATAACAACGCATTACGCTGTATTTTGCTCAAACAAATATTTCCGCAGACAGAAGTTGGACAAAAAAGACAAAAAAAAAAAACCATTATATTTCTAAAACGTTCATTTAGAAGCAAGGAGCAGCCATCTTGGAGGTGTTTCCGTCTTTTCTAGTTAGAAATCCGACTTCAGGGGGACGTTCCAGTTTAAAGTATTGACTGGGAACTCAAAAAGGTGTCAAAAAAATGTTTAAAAATGCTTCTTTTTTGCTTCTTTTCCTGTCTCTTAGGATTAACGAAGCAGCCGATTACAAGGATCACAAGATCCAGGTAGCGAGCTGTCTCATCTCTCTGAAAGTGGAGCCGTCACCGGCCCTATCCATCAACCTCTCCGGAGCGCCACTCATCAAGATTGTCCTCACCCACATCCTGGTAAGAACCCAATACAACAAGTTCCAGTTTCCGCTTATTTAAGGGCCGATTTCTGTGTGAATCAGCAGCCGTACTGGGAAAGTAGTGCTTTTCCAGTTGGTCACAGTTGCTGGGCGTGGGACACCCACCTTATCAGAGGGAAAGAGAGGGCACAGCTTGTGGCTACAGTAGCCGGATCTCCCCCCCATACTCCCCTCCTTCGTATTAAATCTATCAGCTCTATTTTTGGGCGTCCTCTTATGTAAGAAGATGAGTGTCTATCTACCGAGCGAGGGGCCGGTTTGCAGCTGGGTTGCTCACCAGCACACAGAGCGGAGCCTATTTTGGTTTTCATTAGCCTGCCTAAAGTTTTCCTCGCGGAGCATGTGGCTTCCAGAAAGCAAACTGATTATGGACATTTGAACTGCAGGCTTTTAAGGCGCTTTTGAAAGGGAACAATAACTTTCTTTTATGAACAACATATTTTTTTCGCTTTTGCTGCTTTATGGCAGAGAGGGGGGGCCGTGCCAGTTTTCCATGGGAAATGCAGTTGAAAAAGCTCATGATGAAAATTAACTGAAAAATGTGTATCGCATTAGGGTTGTTTCCCTGTAAAGTCAGAAATGTGGCAGCAAGCTTCGCAGCCATGTGTATTTTATTTATTTTTTTTATACATTTTTTGCACATTGACAGGATTTTTGAAGTCATTCTTTTCATCTTAATAAACCGTGTTAATAGCCTATTAGACGATCATACAATAGTATTAATGAGGCAGTAACAAAACCAGTTTACTAAAAACCCCCAATAATGCAACTCTCACAAGAACTATTCAAATTCTATTGAATCACGTTTATTTCTCTCAAATGAAAGCCATGCAAGCTTTATGAAACCATAGCAATATTGCTTTTTGTTTGCCTCCATTTTTCCCCTGGTGAAATAAATGTTTATGCTGCAATTATCTGGCTTGGTTCCTGCGACAATGATTACTGTGTTTGTTTTAGCGGACACCATGGGAAAGGGCTTATAATCTCCTTTGTTACGGGAGTGCTGGAGATGCTCACCAGCTCTGCTGTCTGCAAGGTGCTTTTCTATTTTATTGCCTTTACCACTCACGTAAGGATAAATCAGGTTTCTTACATTCTTTCCCCTCCACCCCGTTACAAAATAAGCTGTTATTACTAACGCATACTGATTGGAGCGGACCGTGCCAGCGCTTTTCAGCTTAACTTAGGCCGCATAGCTCGGACGATGATTTATGTTTAGGACCTGCATTTGGCAAGCGGTGCTTTTGGCTGTCCAGGAAAAAAGGGTTGTTTTGCTATAACTGGTTTGCTGTAGTTGGATTTAGTCAAAAAGTGACTATTTTTGGAGTCTTAATGTCTTTGGCAACTGATGGATACTTATCACCTCCCCAGCTCGGAGGCAGGGAGGGCGGCTCGCGCGGTATGTGGCAGACCTTTTCCCGTCATTGTTTATGTTGCCCTTTACTTTTCTGCACAAGTTAAACCTTAAAGATGTCGTCTCTCGTGGCACCGGTTCAGCAAGGGCGAGATTTGCGACCGACCTCTCTGTTTATCCTCACAGTGTAGACAAGCAGCCAGTGACTTCATTAAAACCTAGCAGGGGGCGTGGGGGTGAGTGTGTCAGCTTTTCTCATCTGTCTTTTCATGCTGTCATGGTTACAACAAGTCCTGTGCGCCATCACTTGTGCTGTACAATTGCCTACTGTCGTGGCTCGGACCCAAATGTCATCCATTTCCCTTATCTGACACCTGCCGTGATAAAAAAAAGCATTGTACGGTGGATTGATGGAGTCACAAAGAACCTCGTGTAATGGCAGGTACTGCTCACTGAAGGTCAACGCCATGGTGGTGGGAGTCTGAGTGACCTCGCCGTCTTTGATTGATGCCCTCGGAGTACGC